GTGATTTGTGCCCAGCCAGACTTCGGCAAGAATGCATTCAATAAAGTTTATTGCAATTGTTTTCTACTACTTTCTGGAAGATCGTTTCCAATGCATTTTCCTTCTTCCTTTGAACTGATGTTTTACAATGGCACAAAGGCTTTAAACTCAATCTGAATCTGCCCATGCTGGGTAGAGTTCTGTTGAATGCTACTTGAAGCACAAACAAGGCAGAGGGTTCTCCTTTAAAAACAACTTAATCAATGCAAGTAGAAGCTGTTACAAGACAGAGATTGTTTTCTGTACTTGGAAGCTATTCTAAGCCCGCATATACAAAGCACAGTGCAGCTCTTCAATATCACATTACAGGCACATAATTTATATGGTAGTAGCAAGAAATACCTTGGAGTAGGTTTACCAAATCTTGAGGAAAAACAAAAATTGCTATGTGTATTGATTCACAAAAGTTTTTGAAATTTGTTGGTCCAATTTTATCAAGTACTCATTCAATTGCATTTTACTGCTTCCTACAAACTGATGTTCAACAATGGCACAGATACTTGAAAATTAAACTGAATGTGCTGGTGCTGGGAAGAATTATGTTGAGTGCAACTTTAAACACAAACAAAGCAGAGGGTTCTCTTTTAAGACAGAGTAAATTGTAACAAGTTGAAGTTGTGAGCACAAACTGCTTCTATTCTGTTTTTGTAAGCACTACTCAGCCAGCACATTCAAAGCAGACTTTTCCAATCATTTCCATGGGAAAATATCCAAATTGGTCTAGTAAGAAAAAGTTGTGTGTAGGATCACCAAACATTGAGGGGAAAGAGGGAAGAATGTGAATAGGATGGATTCAGAAAAGTTTCATTAAAATTCTTTCCCACACCTTTCTCACAATGTTCTTTTCCAATGCATTTGCCCACTTCATAGGAATTGATGTTTAACAATGGCAGAGACACTTCAAACTGAAACTGAATCTATCCATGCTGGAAAGAATTTTGTTGAAAACTACTTCAACCACAATAAAAAGCAGAGGGTTCTTCTTTAGAAGAGATGGAATTAATGCAATTAGAAGCTGATAAAATCTACGTATTATATTCTGAAATTGGAAAACTTAAGCATATTGCAAATCCTCTTCAGTTCTTCACCATCACATTGTGTGCATATTATTTAAATGGTGCAAGAAAAACCTTGAGTCTGGGCTCACCAAAACTTGGGGGAAAACAGGGAATGTTAAGGCCAAACGTTCCTTGAAAATTGTTGGTCCACCATTTCCACAATACTCATTTCAATTGCATTTTCCTGCTTCATATGAACTGATGTTAAAATGAAACAGAAGCTTGAAACTGATACTGAATCTGCCCATTCAGGGAAGAATTATGTTAAATGCTACTTCAAGCACAAATCAGAGGGTTCTCCTTTAGAAGAGAGTAAATTCTAGCAAGTTGAAGCTGCTAGCACAAATGCTTCTGTTCTGTTCTTCCAAGGCTTACTCCGACAGCAAATTCAAAGCATAGTTTGGCTTTTCCCCATCATAGAGATGGCAAAATACTCAAATTGGTCTAAGAAGAAAAAGTTGTTTGTTGGCACACCAAATATTGAGGGGAAAGAAGGCAGTATGCATTCAGTAAAGTTTCATTGGAATTCTTTCCTACATCTTTCTCACAATGTACCTTTCCAATGCATTTGCCCACTTCCTATGAACTGATGTTTAATAATGGCATAGAAGCTTGAAATTGAAACTAAATCTGTCAGGGATGGGAAGAGTTCTGACGAATTCTACTTCAAGCACAAACATCACAGAGAGTTCTTTAACCGAGTGAATTGTGCAAAAAGAAGCTGTTAAAACGCGTGAATTCTCTGCACTGGGAAGCTCTTCTAAGACAGCATATTCAAAGTGTGGTTTAGCCCTTAAACATCACATAGCAGGCACATTATTTAAATGGTGGTAGCAAGAAATACCATGGGACAAGGCTCACCAAACCTTGAAGAAATAGAGAGAATGTTAAGGCAATTCATTCACCAAATTTTCATTGAACTTCATTGGTCCACCAGTTCATTTCAATTGCATTTTTTTTTTGCTCCCTAAAAACTGTAGCTTAATAATGGCACAGATGTTTGAATCTCAAACTAAATCTGTTTATACTGGGAAGAATTCTGTTGAATGTTTCTTAAACCATAAGCAAAGCAGAAGGTTCTCCTTAAGAACAGAGTGAATTCTAGCAAGTAGAAGCTGCAATACAAACTAATTCTGTTTGGGATTTGCAAGCTCTACGCAGCCAGCACATTCAATGCAGACTTCATTTTTGCTTCATTGCTGTAATGGTAAAATATCCAAATTAGTCTAGGAAGAAAACAGTGTATATAGGCTCACTGAAAATTGAGAGAAAAGAGGGAAGGATGTGAATAAGATGCATTCAGTAAAATTTCATTGAAATTCTTTTCTACACCTTTCTCACAATGTTCCATTCCAGTGTATTAATCTTCCTCCTTTGAACAGATGTTTAACAATGGTACAAACTCTTGAAACTGAAACTGAATCAGCCCTTGCAGGGAGAATTCTTGTGAATTTTACTTCAAGTGCAAACACAGCAGAGGTTCTTATTTAGAAAAGAATGAGTTCTAGCAGATGAAGCTGCAAGCACAAACTGCTTCTCTTTTGTTCTTGCAGGCAATAATGAGCCAGCACATTCAAAGCAGACATCAGCCTTTTCTCATCACAGTGATGGCAAAATATTCAAACTGGTCTAGAAAAAAAAAAGTTGTATGTAGGATCAGCAAATATTGAGGGGAAAGAGAGAAGAATGTAAACAGGATGCATTCAGAAAATTTTCGTTGGAATTCTCTCCTACAAATTTCTCACAATGTTATTTTCCAATGCATTTGCCTGCTTCCTTCAAACTGATGTTTAACAATGGCACAGACCTTTCAAACTGAAACTGAATCTGTCCATGCTGGGAAGAGTTCTATTTAATGCAACTTCAAGCACAAAGTAGTAGTTTCTGCTTTTGAATAGATGAACTTATGCAAGTATGAGCTGTGAAAACACACAGATTATATCAGCACTGGGAAGCTCTACTAAGCCAGCATATTGAAAGGGGGATTCACCATTCAACATCACATTGCAAGCACATAACTTAAATGGTGGTAGAAAAAAAAAAAAACTTTGGACAAGGTTCACTAAACTTTATGGGGAACAATGGAATGTTAAGAGAATTCCTCTCCAATGTTTTCTTGACATTTGTTGGTCCACCTTTTTCACAATACTCACTTAATTGCAGTTTCCTGTTTCCTATGAACTGATGTTTCATAATGGCACAGATGCTTCAAACTGAAACTGAATCTGCATGTGCAGGGAAGAATTCTATTGAATGCCACTTTAAGCACAAACCAAGCAGAGGTTGTCCTTTAAAACACAGTGAGTTCTAGCAAGTTGAAGTTGATAGCACAAACTGCTTCTGTTTTGTTCCTGCAAGCTCTACTGAGCCAGCACACTTAAAGCAGACATCAGCTTTTTACCATTATAGGGATGGCAGAATATTCCAATTGGTCTACAAATGAAAAGTTGTATATAGGATCACCAAACATTGAGTGGAAGAGGAAAAAAATGTAAACAGGATTTATTCAGTAAAGTTTCAATGGAATTCTCTCCTACAATTTTCTCACAACATTGTTTTCCAATGCATTTTCCTGTTTTCTTCAAACTGGTATTTCACAATGGCACAAATGCTTGAAACTAAATCTGAATTTTTCCATGCTGGATAGAGTTCTGTTGGATGCTACTTCAAGCACAAACAAAGGAGAGGTATCTCCTTTAAAAACAAGTGAATTTTTGTAAGTAGAAACTGTTAAAATTCACAGATTTCTTTTCTGAACTGGGAAGATCTTCTAAACCAGCATATTCAAAGCAGAGTACGTCACATTGAAGGCACAGAATTTACATGCTGGTAGCAAGAAATACCTTGGAGTAGGCTCACTAAAACTTGAAGAAAAAACAAAATTTTATGTGGATTCATTCACCAAAGATTCCTAGAATTTTGATGGGGTTCACCTTTTTAACAATACCCACTTCAATTGCATTTGCCCGCTTCCTACAAACTGATGTTCAAGAATGGCACATTCACTTGAAACTGAAACTGAATTTGCTGATGCTTGGAAGAGTTCTGTTGAATGTTACTTCAAGCACAAACAAAGCAGAGGGTTCTCCTTTAGAACAGATGAACTCATGCAAGTACAAACTGTTAAAACACATGAATTATTTTCTGCACTGGGAAAATCATCTAAGGCAGCATATTCAAAGCAGGGTTCAGCCATGCAAACTCACTTTGCAAGCACATTATTTAAATGATGGTAGCAAGAAAAATCATGGAACTAGGCTTACAAAACTCTGTGGGGAAAAGGGAATGTTACGGGGAGTCCTTCAAAATTTTCTTTAAATTTGTTGGTTTACATTTTTCACAATACTCCATCTAATTGCAGTTTCTGGATTCCTATGAATTGATGTTTAACAATGGTACAGATGCTTGAAACAGAAACTAAATCTGCTCATGCATGGAAGAATTCTGTTGAATTCTACTTCAAGCCCAAATAAAGCAAAAGGTTCTTTTTTTTAGAACAGAGTAAATTATAGCAACTTGAAGCTGCAAGAACAAAGTTCTTCTATTGTCTTCTTGCAATCTCTTCTCAGCACAATCAAAGTAGACTTCAACCTTTCCTCATCACAATGATAGCAAAATATTCAAATTGATTTAGGAAGAAAAAGTTGTATGTAGGATCATAAAACATTGAAAGGAGACACAGAATAATGTGAATAAAATGTATTCAGAAAAGTTTCATGATTTTTTTTCCTACACTTTTCTCACAATGTTTTGTTTCAATGGATTTGCCCAATTCATAGGAACTCATGTTTAATAATGGCACATGTGCTCAAACTGAAACTGAATCTGTCTGTTCTGGGAAGAGTTTTATTGAATGCTACTTCAACCACAAACTAAGCAGAGGGTTGCCCTTTAGAACAGTGAACTATTGCAAGTAGAAGCTTCTAAACATGTAGATTCTCTTCTAAGAGAATGTTCTAAGCCAGCCTATTCAAATCATGGTGCAGCCCTTCAGTATCACATGGCAGCCACACTATTTAAATGGAAGTAGCAAGAAAAACTTTGGGACTAGGCACACCAAATTTTGGGGGAAAGAAGGAATGCTATGGGATTCATCCACCAAAGTTTCCTTGAAATTTGATTGTCCCCTTCTATGCAATACCCACTTCACTTGCATTTTACTTCTTATTCCGAACTGATATTTAACAATGACATGGATTTTGAAACTGAAACTGAATAGATACATGCATATTATTCTGTTGAATGCTACTTTAAGCACATAGAAAGCACAGGGTCTCCTATAAAACAAAGTGAATTTTAGCAAGTTGCAGCTGCTAGCAAAAATTGCTTCTGTTCTGTTCTGGCAACCTCTACTAAACCAGTACATCCAAAGTAGTCTTTAGCCTTTACAGATCACAGCAATAGCAAAATATTAAAATTGGCCTAGGAAGAAAAATTTCTATGTAGGATCACCAAACAGTGAGAGAGAAGATGGAAGAATATAAGTAGGGTGCTTTCAGTAATGTTTCATTATAATTCTTCCCTATAACTTTCTAACAGTATTTCTTTGCAATGTATTTGCCAGCTTCCTGTGAACTGATGTTTAACAATGGCACAAAATGTGAACCTTAAACTGAATCACCTATGATGAGTAGAGTTTGTTTGAATACTACTTCAATCACAAAGAAAACAGAGGGTTCTCATTTAGGAAAAAAACTAATTCATGCAAGTAGGAAGTCTTAAAACATGGGTTATCTTCTGAACTAGGAAGGTCTTCTAACTAAGAATATTCAAAGCAGGGTTCAGCCTCATATTGAAAAGGTTCAAAATCATATTGCAAGCACAATATTTAAATATTGGTAGCAAGAAAACCTTGAGACTAGGCTTACCAAATCTTATGGGTGAAGAGGGAATGTTATAGGAATTCCTTCACCAAAGGTTCCTTCTAACTCATTGATCTACCATATTCAAAATACTTCAATTTTCATTTCCTTCCTCTGAAATAATGTTTGACAATGGCACAATGCTTGAAACAGAAACTAAATTTGCCCTTGCACAGAAGAATACTGTTAAATGCCATTTCAAGCACAAAGAAAGCAGAGAGTTCTCCTTTAGAACAGGATAAATTATAACAAGAGGAAGCTGCAAACACACAGTTCTTCTCTTCTGGTCTTGCAAACTCTACTCAGCCAGCACATTCAAAGTAGACTTCAGCCTTTCCCCATCACAGTGATGGAAAAATATTCAAATTGGTCTAGGAAGAAAAAGTTGTATATAGGATCTCCAAACATCCAAGAGAAAGTGGAAATAATATGTATAGGATGCATTGAGAAAAGTTTCATTAAAATCCTTTTTAAAACCTTTCTCACAACATTCCTTTCCAATGTATTTGCTCACTTCAAAAGAGCTGATGTTTAACAATGGCAGAGAAGCTTGAACCTGGATCTGAATCTGCCCATGCTGGGTAGAGTTTTGTTGAAGGCTACTTTAACCAAAAAAAAAAAAAAAGAGAGAGAGAGAGAGAGAGGAGGTTTTCCTTTAAAAGATATTCAAATAATGCAATTAGAATCTGTCAAAACCTATGGATTCTCTTCTTCACTGGAAAGTTCTTCTAAGCCAGCACATTCAAAGCTCTGTTTAACCATTCAACATCCTATTTCAGGTACATTATTTAAATAGTGGTTGCAAGATAAACATTCAGTCAAGGCTCACCAAACTTCGTGGGGAACATGGGGATTCCTCACCAAAGTATCCATGGACCCACTTTTTCACAATACTCACTTCAATTGCACCTGCTTCATACAAACTGATGTTTAACAATGACAGCGATGCTTCATAGTGAAACTGAATCTGCACATGCAGGGAAGAATTCTGTTGAATCCTACTTCAAGCACAAACCAAGCAGAGGTTCTCCTTTAAAACACAGTGAGATCTAGCAAGTTGAATTTGCTAGCACAAACTACTTGTGTTCTGTTCTTGCAAGCTCTGCTGAGCCAGCACATTCAAAGCAGACATCAGCCTTTTACCATTATAGGGATGGCAGAATATTCCAATTGGTCTAGGAAATAAAATTTGAATATAGTAGCACCAAATATTGAGTGGAAAGTGGAAAAAATGTAAACAGGATTTACTCAGTAAAGTTTCAATGGAATTCTGTCCTAAAATTTTCTCACAATGTTCTTTTCCATTGCATTTGCTTTGTTCCTTCAAACTGGTGTTTTACAATGGCACAGACTCTTGAAACTAAATCTGAATCTGTTCAGGCTCAGTAGAATTCTATTAAATGCTATTTTAAGCAGCAACAAAGGAGATACCTCTCATTTACAAAGAAGTGAATTCATGCAGTAGAAGCTGCTAAAACACAACGATTCTTTTCTGCCCTGGAAGCTCTTCTAAGCCAGAATATTCAAAGCATGGTTTAGCCCTTCAACATCACATTGCAGGCACATAACTTAAATGGTGGTACCAAGAAATACCTTGGAGTAGGCTCAAAAAACCTTGTGGGGAAAATTTTTATGTGGATTTATTCACTAAAGTTTTTGAGAAGTCTGATGGTCCACCTTTCTAACAACACACACTTTAATTAAATTTTCCAGCTACCTACAAACTGATGTTCAACAGTGTCACAGTTGTTTGAAACTGTCACTGAATCTGATGGTGCTGGAAAAAAATTCTGTTGAATGTTACTTCAAGCACAGGATTCTCCTTTAGAACAGATGAACTCATGAAAGTACAAGTTGTTAAAACACATGTATTATCTTCTGCACTTGGAAGCTCTTCTAAGCCACCATATTCAAAGCAGGGTTCAGCCATGCAAACTCATATTGCAAGCACATTATTTAAATGGTGGTAGCAAGAAAAACCTTGGGACTAGGGTCACCAAAACTTGTTGAGAAAGAGGGAATGTTCTGTGGATTCCTTCACCAAAGTATCTTTGTAATTCATTGGTCCACCTTATTCACAATACTCACTTCACTTGTAGTTTCCAGCTTTCTATTAAATGATGTTTACCAATGGCACAGATGCTTGAAACACAAACTAAATCTGCCCATGCATGAAATAATTCTGTTGAATGCTACTTGAAGCACAAACCAAGCAAAGAGTTCTCTTTTTAGAGCAGAGTAAATTATAGCAAGTTGAAGCAGCAAACACAAAAAACTTCTATACTCTTCTTGCAATCTCTGTGCAGCCAGCATGTTCAAAGCAGTCTTCTGCCTTTCTCAATCACAGTGATGGCAACATGATCAAGTTGGTCTAGGAACAAAGCTTCATATGTAGGATCTGCAAACATCAAGGGGAAAGTGGGAATAATGTGAATAAGATGCATTGAGAAAAGTTTCATTAAAATTATTTTCTAAATGATTCTCACAACGTTCCATTTCAATGCATTTGCCCACTTCATAGACACTGATTTTCAGGTGTCACAGAAGCTTGAATATGAAACTGAATCTGCTGGGTAGACTTCTGTGAATGTTACTTCAACCACAGAGAGAGGAGAGGGTTCTCATTTAGAATAGATGGAATTATACAATCAGAAGCTGCCAAAACCGCAGGTTCTTTTCTGCTCTGGGAAGGTCTTCTAAGCCAGCATATTCAAAGCTCTTTTCAGCCATTCAACATCCCATTCCAGTCACATTATTTAAATGGTGGTTGCAAGAAACACTTTGGGACTACACTCACCAAACTTGAGGGGAAACAGGGAACGTGAGAGGGATCGATTGGCCCAAGTTTGTGGGTCCACCTTCTTCAAAATGATCACTTCCCTTGCATTTTGCTAATTCTTTTGAATTGATGTTTTAACAGTGACATAGAAGCTGGAATCTGAAACTGAATCTGCCCATACTGCTGAGATTTCTGTTGAATACTACTCCAACTACAAAGAAATTAGAGGATTCTCTTTTTGAACAAAGTGAATTAAAGCAATTACAAGCTCCAAAAACACAGAGTCTCTTGTGCTGGGAAGCTCTTCTAAGTTAGTGTATTTACAGTGCACTCTAAAGCCCTTCAATATCACATTGCAGTCATATTGCTTACATGGCCGTACCAAGAAATACCTAAAAACTAGACTCACCACAATAGGGAGGGAACAGAGGAATATTATGGTGATTGATTCACCAAAGTTCCCTTGATATTTTTTGATCCATCTTTTTCACAATGCTCACCTTAATTGCATTTTCTTGCTTCATTTTAACTGATGTTTAACACTGAAACACATTTGAAAGTGAAAGTGAGTCTACACCTGCAAGGAAGAATTCTGTTGAATGATACCTTAAGAACATAAAACACAAACAGTTCTTCTTTAACACAGAGTCAATTCTAGCAAGTTGAATCTGCTATCACAAACTGCTTCTGTTCTGTTCTGCCAAACTCTACTCAACCAGCACATTCAATATAGTCTTCAGCCATTTCACATTAGACCAATGGCAAAATGTCTAGGAAGAAAAAGTTGTATGTAGCATCACAGAACACTGAGGGGAAAGAGGTAAGTATGTCAAAAAAGATGCATTCAGTAAAGTTTATTGGAATTCTTTCCTACAACTTTCTCACAATGTTTCTTTCCAATACCTTGGCCCACGTTTTATGAACTGATATTGACCAATGGCACGGAAGCTTGAAACTGTGACTTAATCTACCTGTTCTGGGAAAAGTTCTCTTGAATTCTACTTCTAAACCAGCATATTATTCAAAGCTCTTTTCAGCCATTATTTCACACTGTTCTAAAGGCTTTTCTTTTAGAACAGAGTGAAATAATGCAAGTAGAAGCATAAAGATTCTGTTCTGCACTGAGAAGCTCTTCTAAACCAGCATATTCAAAGCACAGTTCAGCCCTTCAACACCCCATTACAGGCACATAACTTAAATTGTTTGTAGCAAGAAATATCTTGGGGTAGGCTCAACAAAATTTGAGGAAAAAGAGAAACTTTTATGTGGATTAATTCACCAAAGTGTCGTAGAAATTTCTTGTTCCATCTTTTTTACAATACTTACTTCAATTGTATTTTCCTGTTTCCTACATACTGATGTTCAAAAATTGCCCAGTCACTTGAAACTGAAACTCTATCTTCTGCTAGTAGGAAGAGTTCTGTTGAAAGCTATTTCAAGCAATAACAATCCACAGGGTTCTCCTTTAGAACAGATGAAAACATGCAAGTATGAGCTGTTAAAACTTACGACTTACCTTCTACACTGGAAAAATATTCTAACCCAGCATATACAGAGCAGTGTTCAGCCATTCAACATCATATTGCAAGCACATAATTTAAAAGGTGGTAGCAAGAACAACATTGGGACTATGCTCACCAGTCCGTGGGGGAAAGAGGGAATGTTATGGGGATTCCTTCACCAAGTTTACTTGTAATTCATTTGTTCACCCTTTTAACAATTCTCACTTCAATTGCAGTTTCCCACTTCCTAAAAACTGATGTTCCATAGTGACACAGTCAATTGAAACTGAAACTTAATCTGCAGGTGCTGGGATGTCTTCTTTTTAATGCTACTTCAACCACAAACAAAGCAGAGAGTTCTCCTTTAGATAAGAGTAAATTATAGCAAGTTGAAGTGGCAAACACAAAGAGCTTCTTTACTCTTCCTGCAATCTCTACTCAGCCAGCAAATTCAAAGCATTCTCTGCCTTTCTCAATCACGGTGATGGCAAAAGATTCAAATTGGACTGGGAAGAAAAGTTGTATGTAGGATGTCCAAACATCCAGGGAAAAGTGTGAATAATGTGAATAGGATGCATTGAGAAGTGGTTCATTAAAATTCTTTCATAGATAATTCTCACAATGTTCTTTTCCAATGCATTTGCCTACTTCCTAAGCACTGATTTTCAGGTGTTACAGAAGCTTGAATATGACAGTGAATGTGCCAGTGCTGGGTAGAGTTCTGTTTAATGCTACTTCAACCACAGAGAAAGGAAAGAGTTCTCCTTTAGAAGAGATGGAATTATACAATTAGAAACCTCCAAAACCCATGGATTCTCTTCTACTCTGGAAAGGTCTTCTAAGCCAGCAATATTAAAGCTGTGTTCAGTGTTTCAACATCTCATTCAAGGCACATTACATTAATGGTGGTTGCAAGAAAAACCTTGGGACTGGGTTTGCCAAACCTTGGAGGAAAACAGAGAATGTGTCCACCTTCTTCGCAATAATCACTTCCCTTGAATTTTGCCACTTCCTCCAGTTGATGTTTAACAATGACACAGAAGCTTGAATCTGAAACAAAATCTGCCCATACTTCTAAGAGTTCTGTTGAATGCTACTCCAACCATAAACAAAGTAAAAGATTCTCCTTTTAAACAGAGTGAATTAAAGAAATTAGAAGTTCAAAAACAAAATGATTCTCTTCTGTTGGGAAGCTCTTCCAAGACAGTATATTTACAAAGTGCTATATAGCCTTTCAACATCACATTGCAGGCACATTACTTAAATGGTGGTACCAAGAAATTCGTAAAAACTAGACTCACCAAGATGTGGAGAGAATGGAGGAATATTATGAGAATTGATTCAGCAATGTTTCCTTGATATTTTTTGGTCCAACTTTTTCACAATGCTCACCTTAATTGCATTTTCCTGCTTCATAATATGTGATGTTTAACACTGAAACAGACATTTGAAAGTGAAAGTTAGTCACTCATGCAAGGAAGAATTCTGATGAATCCTACCTCAAGTACGTACAACACTGAGGGTTCTTCTTTAAAACAGAGTCAATTCTAGCAAGTTGAATCTGCTATCACAGACTGCTCCTGTTCTGTTTTGGCAAGGTCTATTCAATCAGCTCATTCAATATAGTCTTCAAAAATTTCACATCAGAGCAATAGCAAAATAGTCAAATTGGTCTAGAAAGAAAGTTGTATGTAGGGTCACAGAACATTGAGGGGAAAGATCTAAGTATGTCAAAAGGATATATTCAGTAAAGTTTATTGGAATTATTTCCTACAACTCTCTCATAATGTTTCTTTCCAATACATTGGCCCACTTTCTGGGAACTGATATTGATCAATGGCACAGAAGCTTGAAACTGTGACTGAATCTGCCTGGGCTGGGAAGAGTTCTCTTAAATGCTACTTCAGTCACAAAGAAAGCAGAGGTTTCTGCTTAGAACAGATTTAATTAGTGCAAGTAGAAGCTATTAAAACATACAGATTCATTTCTGCACTGAGGAGATCTTCTAAGTTATCATGTTCAAAGCAAAGTTCAGCCCTTCAATACGTCATTGCAGGCACATAACTTAAATGTTGGTAGCAAGAAATACCTTGGGGTAGGCTCACCAAAACTTGAGAAAGAAGAGAAATTTTTAAGTAGATTCATTCACAAATGTGTCCTAGAAATTTCTTGCTTCATTTTTTTTACAAAACTTACTTGAATTTCATTTTCCACTTCTTACAGACTGATGTTCAACAATTGTCAAGTCACTTGAAACTGAAACTATATCTACTATTGGTGGGAAGAGTTCTGTTGAATGTGACTTCATGTACAAACAATCCAGAGGGTTCTCCTTTAGAACAGATGAACACATGCAACTAGGAGCTGTTAAAACTCATGACTTATCTTCTACATTATAAAAGTCTTCTAACCCAGCATATACAGAGAAGTGTTCAGCCATTCAACATCATATTGCAAGCATCAATTTAATTGGTAGTAGCAAAAAGAACCTTGGACTAGGCTCACCAGTCCTTGTGGGGTAAGAGGGAATGTTATTGGGATTCCTTCACCAAAATTCCTAGTAATTCATTTCTCCACCTTATTCAAAATGCTCACTTCAATTGCAATTTTCTATTTCTTACAAACTAATGTTCCACAGTGACACAGTCACTTGAAACTGAATCTGCTGGTGCTGGGAAATCTTCCTTTTAATGCTACTTCAAGCACAAACCAAGCAGAGAGTTCTCCTTTAAGGCAGATGCACTCAGGCAAGTACAAGCTGTTAAAACACACAAATTATCTTCTGTACTGAGAAGCTCATCCAAGTCATCATATTCAAAGAAGGGTTCAGCCATTCAAAATCACATTGCAAGATCATTATTTAAATAGTGGTGGCAAGAAAAACATTGGGACTAGGCTCCCAAATTGTTATGGGGGAAAAGGGAATAGTTTGGGGATTCCTTCACCAAATTGTTTTGTAATTACTGCTCCACCTTATTCACAATATTCATTTCAATTGTACTGTCCCACTTCCTATGAAATGATGTTTAACAATGGCACAGATGCTTGAAAATGAAAGTGAAACTGTACATGCAATGAAGAATTCTGTTGGATGCTAGTTCAAGCACAAACCCAGCGGAGGTTATCCTTGAAAAAATACTGAGTACAATGAAGTTGAATCTCCTAGCAAAAACTGCTTCTGTTCCATTCTTGCAAGCTCTACTTAGCCAGGACATTCTTAGCAGACATCAGCCTTTTACCATCACAGCAATGGAAGAATATTCAAATTGTTCTAGGAAAGAAAAGTTGTATGTAGGTTCACCAAACAGAGAGAGGAAAGTGGGAATAATGTGAATAGGATGCATTGAGAAAAGTTTCATTAAAATTCATCTTTTCTAAACCTTTCTCACAATATTCCTTTCCAATGCAATTGCCCACTTCTTATAAACTGATGTTTAACAACTGCACAGAATCTTAAACCTGAAACTGAATTTGCCAGTACTGGGTAGAGTTTCATTGAATGCTACTTCCACTACAAAGAAATAAAACAGTTCTCCTTCAAAAGAGATGGCATTAGTGCAATTAGAAGATGCCAAAGCTCACAGATTCTCTTTTGCACTTCAAAGTCTTCTAATCCAAAATATTCAAAGCATTTTTCAGCCATTCAATATGATATTGCAAGCACAATACTTAAAAGGTGGTAGCTAGATAAACCTTGGGATTATGCTCACCAAAGGTTGTGGGGAAAGAGAGGATATGATGAAGATTCTTTCACCAATGTTTGTTTGTTGTTCATCAGTTTACCTTATTCATAATACTCACTACAATTGGAGTTTCCCACTTCCTGTGAAATAATGTTTAACAATGGCACAGATGCTTGAAACACATACTAAATCTGCCCATGCACGAAAGAATTCTGTGGAGTGCTACTTGACACACATACCAAGCAGAGGGTTCTTCTTTAGAGCCATGTAATTTACACAAAGTTGAAGCAGCAAGCACAAAGAAATTCTATATTCTTG